GGTCTCAAACTCCTGGACACAAGTGATCCTCCTGCCCTGGCCTCCCAAAGTGCTGGGATTACAGGTGTGAGCCACGATGCCTGGCTGGAACTGTATTTTTAAACAAGCATCCCAGGTGGTTTCTCATCAGGGAAATTTGGAAGAATTAAACTGGTGTTTCTCAAATTGTAGTCTTTGGACCACAACATCGCCTGGGAACTTTTTAGAACTGAAAATTCTAGGGCTTTACCCCAGACACACTGAATCAGAAACCCAGCCCAACACGTTGTGCTTTTATCACAAGCCCTGTGTGACTCTGGCATGGGGAAAGCTTGGTCACCACCATTCTCAGACAGGTTCGGAGCCCAACTCAAGTCCGGGCATCATAGGGAAACCAATACAAACCTTCCTTGCCCTGCCTTCCCAGTGAGGGTGACCCGCGCCGCACCAAGAGAGGAACAGCAGCGGTGACTCCGGGCGTTGGGCTTTGTCTGTGCTTTATGACTGAATCCTCACAGCACATCTGTGAAGTGCGGTACCTCTGCAGATGGGAAACTGAGGCAGGGAGAGGCTAAGTAAATTATCAACAGCTAGCAGCCGGCAGAGCTGCGGTTAAAATCCACGCCTTGCTTGACACCAAAGTCAGGTTCTGAAACATCACGCTGCTGCCCCCTGCAGCAGAGGCCAAAGTAACGAGTTCACTGAACTGGTGACATGAGCATTCCTGGGCTAGACGGATGCCTTAGAACTGTGCCATTTCTCACCTTCCAGTCTAACATCTCAGCAAGGAAGGACCGAGGGCTGGAAATGCACCTGACTCTGTGCGTGGTGCTCAGGGAAGAGAGAAGACACCACACGCTTCCTGTGTCTTACTGCCACCCAGGGAGTAAGACATTTATAGCTCCTTCCCATGGGTGCTTTGTTGTTGTTGAGACAGGGTCTTGCTCTGTCTCAGAGGCTGGGGAGCAATGGCCTGATCTTGGCTCACTGTAACCCCTGCTTCCCAGGTTCACTGAACTCAGCCTCCTAAGTAGCTGGGACTACAGCCAGGCCTGGATAATTTTTGTATTGTTTTGTAGAGATGAGGTTTCATCATGTTATCCAGGCTGGTCTAGAACTCCTAGGCTCACGTGATCCGCCTGCCTCGGACTCCCAAAGCACTGGGATTACAGGCATGAACTACCCCACCAGGCTGGGCTCTTCAATTTTTTTTTTCTTTTGAGATGGAGACTCCCTCTGTTGCCGAGGCTGGAGTGCACTGGCAGAATCTTGGCTCACTACAACCTCTGCCTCCTGTGTTCAAGTGATTCTCTTGCCTTAAGATTCCCAATTAGCTGGGATTACAGGTGTATACCACCATGCCCAGCTACTTTTTTGTATTTTTAGTAGACAGGGTTTCACCATGTTGGCCACACTGGTCTTGAACTTCTGGCCTCAAATGATCCACCTGCCTCGGCCTCCCAGAGTGCTGTGCTGACAAGTGTGAGCCACTGTGCTCAGCCAGCTCTTCACTTTTAAGAGACTATTTTTCATTCTCTATAGCACTGAATGCTAATTTTAATTTTAATTTTTTTTTTTTTTTTTTTTGAGATGGAGTCTCACCCTGTCTCCCAGGCTGGAGTGTAATGGTATGATCCTGGCTCACTACAACATCCCCTTTCCAGGATCCAGCGATTCTCCTGTCTCAGCCTCCCAAGTAGCTGGGATTATAGGCTGGGATTACGGCTGCGTGCCGCGACACCTGGCAAGTGTTTGTATTTTTAGTAGAGACAGGGTTTCACCATGTTGGCCAAGCTGGTCTCAAACTCTTGACTTCAAGTGATCTGACCGCCTCAGCCTCCCAAAGTGCTGGGATTATACGCATGAGCCACTGCAGCTGGCTGGATTCTTCAATTGTTTTTTTTTTTTGAGATGCAGTTTTGCCCTCGTTGTGTAGGCTGGAGTTCAATGGCATGATCTCGGCTCACTGCAACCTCCATGTTCCAGGTTCCAGTGATTCGCCTTCCTCAGCCTTCTGAGTATCCGGGATTACAGGCGCCCGCCAACACGCTCGGCTAATTTTTTTTTTTTTTTTTTTTTCCGAGACGGAGTTTCGCTCTTGTTACCCAGGCTGGAGTGCAATGGCACGATCTCGGCTCACCACAACCTCCACCTCCTGGTTTCAGGCAATTCTCCTGCCTCAGCCTCCTGAGTAGCTGGGATTACAGGCACGCACCACCATGTCCAGCTAATTTTTTGTATTTTTAGTAGAGACGGGGTTTCACCATGTTGACTGGGATGGTCTCGATCTCTTGACCTCGTGATCCACCCGCCTCGGCCTCCCAAAGTGCTGGGATTACAGGCGTGAGCCACCGCGCCCAGCCTTAATTTTTGTATTTTTAGTAAAGATGTGGTTTCACCATGTTGGCCAGGCTGGTCTCAAACTCCTGGCCTCAAGTGATCTGCCCACCTCGGCCACCCAAACTGGCGTGAGCCACCAGGCCGGCTCTACACTTTTAAGAGACTATTATTCATTCTGTATAGCACTGAATGCTAATTTTAATTTTTTTTTTTTTTTTTTTTTCGTTTTAAGATGGGAGTCTCACCCTGTCCCCCAGGCTGGAGTGCAATGGCATGACCTTGGCTCACTACAACCTCCACCTCCTGGGTTTAAGTAATTCTCTTGCATGAGCCACTGTGTCCAGCCTTTAATTAATTAATTACTTATTTATTTAAAGACGGAGTCAGCCTCCTGAGTAGCTGGGATTACAGGTGCCTGCCAACATGCCCAGCTAATTTTTGTTATTTTTAGTAGAGACGGGGTTTCACCATGGTGGCTGGGCTGGTCTTGAACTTCTGGCCTCAAATGATCCACCCGCCTTGGCCTCCCAAAGTGCTGGAATGACAAGTGTAAGCCACTGTGCCTGGCCAGCTCTTCACTTTTAAGAGACTATTTTTCAATCTGTATAGCACTGAATGCTAATTTTTATTTTTATTTTTACTTATTTTTTTTGAGATGGAGTCTTGCTCTGTCACGGAGACTGGAATGCAGTGGTATGGTGGCACCATCTTGGCTCACTGCAACTTCCGCCTCCCAGGTTCAAGCAATTCTCCTGCCTTAGCCTCCAAGTAGCTCAGATTGCAGGCATGGACCACCACACCCAGCTAACTTTTGTATTTTCAGTAGAGACAGGGTTTCAACATGTTGACTAGGCTGGTCTTGAACTCCTGACCGCAAGTGATCTGCCCACCTTGACCTCCCAATGTTGGGATTACAGGTGTGAGCCACTGTGCCCAGGATGCTAGTTTTAAAACCTTTAAACTTGAATTTGAGTAAGATGGTGCACGTATTGCATTGCGTAGATGCTGACTGGTTTCATGTTTTCTGTGCTGCCCTTCTGTGACACCTGCTGCTAACGCCAGGGTTTAGCCTTTCTTCGATGTCCTTGGTACGTTACATGAACTTGCTGCCCCGCTGCCTCTTAGAGTTTATAAATTACAGTGGAGAAAACGGTGCTGACCGACACTCAGCCCAAGGTCAAGCCAGTAGCTCTGCTCAAGGGTTTATATATGCGTTTCGTTTTGACATACGGCACCTCTCGCCCTCACCGCAGGGTCAGTGTAGAGAGAGTGTGGGCTCCCCATCATCTGGGCATAGCCGGGAGGGTGGGGCCTCCATGGGTGGTCTGGATAGGGAAGCAGAGCTCTGGATGAGGATGCACCGTCAGTGACAGCTTTGGAACTGCCGACACCAAGGCGGAGGCTGTCCCTGGCACGCAGGAAGGAGCGATCTGTGAGGCAGCCCAAGACCAGGTCCAGCGAGAGGGTCTCTGACATGAGGGCTGAGGTGGCGGGTGCAGCTGACAGCAGCTCAGCCTAGCAAACACCCTCTGGAAAGTGTTCTTGGACCTTCTGTTCTCCTTATCCACACACGTTCCCTTCATCATGGCTAAATCAAGGTGACTGGTGTGTGACTCAAATGCTCTCCAAGGCCACTGAAGCCTCCGCCCCTTGGGGTTGCAGCCTGTGTTCCTGTCCTGAAGCCCTGCAAGACACTGGCCACTCATTTTATTCTTGGCTCTCTTGGTCATCTGTAATGGGCTGAGCATTTTGAACCCGTCTCTGCTGACACTGGAAGCCCTGGGGTGCACGACAGCAGATACAGGGGGTCCTGAGGTCAGAGCATGTGCACCCCAAGGGCGTCACCTGGTTGGACACGATTACAGCTCTGGGACTGGCTAAGCATACATCCACTGGTACTGCATGTGGCCCCTGGGACACAAGTTTTCAGCTTCTTTCCTTACCCACAGGAGAGAAAAAAGATGCCTGGAGAGATGAGCTGGCCTCCTCAAGACAGCCTGGTGCGCTGGTGGCTGAGTCACCCAGAGTCCCTCCCCATGTGCCTGTCCTTCCCTCTGCTGATTCTGTGAACCACCCGGGGGTAGAGCCTGCCACTTTTCTTCCCAATGACGAACTCGGAGCTGGGGACATGTCAGGAAGGAGTAAGTATCTCCTGAATCTCTGAACTGAGTCTGATGGAGGATGGAGCTAAGAACCTAAAAGGGACTGGGGAGAACAGACGGCGGGCCGCAGGGAAGACAGCAGGTCTCCTGGGGGACTGGGGAGAACAGACGGCGGGCCGCAGGGAAGACAGCAGGTCTCCTGGGGGACTGGGGAGAACAGACTGTGGGCAGCAGGGAAGACAGCAGGTCTCCTGGGCTGGCCCCTGGGAAGCCTGAGTTGGAATCTCAGCTCCAGCCTTGGTGACCCAAGCTGTGGTCACTATCAGCTTGGTTACTTGATGGGGCTCCTGTGAGGAAGACCCAGTGAGGCCACTGGCACGGACGCTGTGCAGTGTGACCTGCGAGGCCTCCCTGAGCTGCTCTCAACAGTCAGCGCATGGGCTCACTCTCCCCGCATGCCAATTCTGTGAGGAAGCAACTAGCATTACGACCCTTCACGGAGGGGAAACTGAGGCACGCCGTGGGAAGAAGCCCTTAGGGCCGCGCGGCGGGTGGCACCCTGTGGCCCTGCGTGCTGACCTGCTGGCGATGTCCTCCTCGGCACCCGTGTCCAGCACACTGCTCAGGTTGTGCTCGGCCTGCGTCTCCTCGGGCACCTCCTGCAGCGCCTCGGCCTGCTTCAGGGACAGGCGGTAGTTCTCCAGCTCGATCCGCTCCGGGGTGCCCCTCAGCCGCTTGGCGATGCTGGGCTCCTCCAGGCCGTTCACGCCTGAACCTGCGGGACAAGCACAGAAGCACCGTGCTGAGGCCCGACCACAGATGGGGCGTAGGGGTGAGGGCTGACACCCGGGCTGCGGGCCCTCCCGCCAGAGCACGGGGCACGTCGAAGGTCAGGGCATTCACCAAGTTGCCAGAGGCCAGGAAAGGCCCCTGGCCTGAGAGTGGGAACTTCGCTAAGCAGGAGAAAGGAGTGCGGCCCAGTCTGCCCTCCAGGTCAGGGCGTTCTCACTACTTCATCCACCGAACCCCAGACCTTAGGGGGAGATGCAGCCTTCTCACAGGGTGACTGGTGGTGAGGGGCGCGTCAGACTGCAGGCAGCCAGGAGCCAGGAGCCAGGTGCCCCGAAGCAGCCTTGCCTGAGAAGGGCATCCCCACTGCAGCCCACCCCAGGATCCAAGACCCCACCAGGCTCACGCCCCACTGTGGGCTGCCCCAGGTGCGTCCCCTGCTGTGGGTCACCCCAGGATCCCAGGATCTGCCCCCACCAGGCGTGTGTTCCCTGCCACTGAGGGGCCCGGCCAGCTGCCTGCAGAATGTCTCATGCTGTGGACCTGTCTCCTGACGTCTTAGATAAGGAACTTTCTGTTTAATAAGGCCACGTGGGTGATGCCGCCCCTATGGCAGCACCACTGCTCAAAGGACACCAGGCCTGGCCGCTCATGCAAGGGCACCCAGGCCTCTTTTCAATGCACGGGCACACTTCCCCATCAGTCCTCTGTAGGTCTTTTCACCCTGCAGTTTCAGCATCACTGGCGACCTTGGCCTGAGTCCTGTGTGTGTGCAGGGGGTCACAACACGGTGATTTTAAAACCCCATCACTTCTCCTCCGCTATCATCCTTTCGTAAGGAAGCACTTTTCCCATTTTTTTCTTTATACTTTCAGGCACTGCTGTGGACTCGGATTTTTTAAAAAGTAAATTTTATGACTGTGCTTTGGTCTCCTTTAATGTGGAAGAGTTCTGCTGCCTCCCTTATCACCACCATTATTCTCTGTTGACGTCCCTTGTCCTCTGATTCTGGTCAGAGGAGGCCCATCATGTGTCCTCGGGTTGTCCCCTATAATACAAGTAGCACCAGGACCAGCTGGAGGTAGGCAACCCCACATCACATGCCTGGCTCCAAGGTTGAAGGGTCTTAGAAAAATCACAGAACTCCTCGGGGCTCATTTCACATCCATACATGATGGCAACACCCACCTTCGAGGGCCGCCATGAATGCCGAGTGAAACACACACATGTGGGGGTGCGTGCTGACCCTGCACCTTGCACCTCCCACGCATGGTGACCCTCCTCTTCCACTCACACCTGTGACCGGGGGAGTGCCCAGGAAACACGAGTCAAGTGGCAGGTCTGTGTCCGGTAATGTTTCCACCACCACGTGTGTCCTCCTACACGGGTATGCCACGTGCACTGGCTCTGGTTACTGAGAAACAGGGCTGAGGTGCAGTGCCATGTGGCAGCAGCCTGGTGTTACTAGACCTTTAAGGAGGCGGGGAAGGGGCAGAGATGCCGGAGGGAGCAGGCCAGCGATTCCTGCAACATTCCAAGCTCTAGGAGACCATACCGGGTTTTGGGATGCCGTGTCATACAAGCCCGTGTTGAGAGACAGGTGGTCCATCAGGCAAAACCCGGCTAAAGGAAAGCGGCGGGTGACTCAGCAATTCTTGTGGCATGTCAGGTCGTGCACAAAGTGTTTTTTTGAAAGCCTGCACTTCTGCCGTGCGCAGTGTTTGCACATCTCTGCGACAGCCTCAGAAATAGCTTTTCATGAGCACTGGCAGTCAGAGGATAAAGTCTTGGCACATCTGTTGGAATTACTGGCGTCCTTCACCAAACAGCATCTTTCACATTTATTTACCAGAGCATCTTTACTGAAAAAGCAAGATCCGGTGGGGTATTCACGTCCAAATTCAGGTCATCGTGTGACGAAGGATACCTGGGATCCCTTGTGCCCTGGGAGAGGAAAGGCCCTAACTGCGCCAGCTCACCGTTCCCAAATCCCACTCTGCTCATCCCCTTTCTCATCAAATCCCAAGGCCTCCCCGTAATGAAGAGGAGAGTGCTGAGAACACCCTGACTGCAGCGCCATTTTGATTTTTTCCATCGTTTATTTTTGACACCTACCACGAAATGGAAAGCAGATGAGAAAGGGAGGTAAAGTCAAGTAACTACCCGAGAAGCAGCTTTCTGGGAATTCCATAAACATGGAATAAAAAGGGGCATTTCTTTTAGAAGGGAGAAGAAAAATAGAATAACTATCCCTTCAGGGAAACAAACAATGAACACTCATCAATTCCGATACAAGCAATTTTAAGGTAGAGTGAACAAACATGTAGGAAAACATCCATGTGGTGTCTGTTTGACGTGGGTAACAGATTGTCCGGTAAGAACTCTATTGGGACCATGGAAAACAACGCAGATTAAGACTCTGTCCACTCTTTGAGAAAGAACTGCAGGCTAGCGCCTGGGAGACGGTCCTGCAGGAACAATTTCAGCGCAACGTGTCAAGTGCCATGACTGAAGTACGCACGCTGTCATGGGACAACGTAAAGACGGTGAGTTAGCACGTCAGTACAGTCAAGAAAGGCGTAATGGAGGCGTATGGACTTAGCCAGCTGGAAAAAATACATTCTGTGGGGTAGGTAGGCGCTATGATTTTGCAAAGGACGTAACTCAAGCTCAGGTCACACAGCTAGTGAGCAGTGGGACCAAGCATCATTTAGGAGAGTACCATGCTGTCGCTAGACTTACGAAGCGGAGAAGAAAAACCAGGCCCGGGTCCGCGACAGCCCTGTCCGCCTTCCCGTTTGGGCATCTTCACCATCGTCTCCTCCTTACTGTAATCTGCTAGCTGAGGGACACAGCACTTCACAAAAGCTTCTTGGAGCAGAGAACCTGGCGCTGAATGACAGACACTCGGTCCTCCCACTGTTATTGCCCTGGAAATTCTGCAAACCCTGCAGACTAATGGGTCATCGGGCAACAGAACTTGGCAGTCCAGGCCCAGGGCTGGAGCTCTGGGAGGGGAAATGCTGATTTAATTTTGGGCTTGGCTACAACCCACAGTTTTCTGGTTTCTTTTGAAACCAGAAGCATTCAGAATTGTTGAGATCCTTCACACGCCGGTCCCCAGAGAAAGCATGTTTTGGGCTGTGAACCCTGCAGAAACGTTGTGCTGGAGACGGTGCACCAGGAGAGGTGGGAGGCAGCAGCTGGCGCTCCCATGGAGACCCACCAGGTCCACACAAGCCCCAACACACCCTGTGGCGAGACAAGGACACGGAAGCACACTGGCAGGCCGTTCCCAGGGTCGAGGGCTTCACGGGGCTTCAGTGTTTCCAAAGGGAAGGTGGCACCCAGAGGATACCGGGCAAGAACCCCAAACTCACCAACTGCCAAAATCAGCTCCACATTCCCAACCCTTCGCCTCAAAGTGCCATGGGAAATTACACACACACACCCCCCAAACAATCAGCATACACCCCTCCCAAAACAATAAGCATAAACACCCCCCTCCCCAAACCAATCAGCATCCTTGATTCTCTGTCCCGAGCAAGGGCTGGTCTGTCAGATGAATCAGATGGTGGTGAGAAACCAAGACAGCGAAAGCAGTTAACAGCGGGCGCCTGGCCAGGGACGACAGCCCAGTGACCTCCTCCCTCATCAACTAATGGCAGGGCCCAGGAGACAGCAGGAGTGCAGATGTGGACAAGCACTTTGCAAGGTGCTGGACGGCAAAGCCGGAAGTGCACCCTACCTGTGAGGCTGCTGGGCCCACGCTGGCCTCTACTTCGCATGCCTTAGTGTACCAACAACCCAGCAGGGCTTTCCAGCTCAAAGCGGGATAAAAGATCTGCAATCATTTCCAAGGCCGTCTTCACTAAGGCAGGGCAGGCAGCTCTCAGGTCACTGGGAGGCCAGTTACAGCCCCACACATACCACAAGGAAGCAGCTCCCAGGATCGGGGCCATATCCTGAGTAGGAAAAGGCTGGGGGCCTCACGTCGGGTTCTGCTTTTGAGTAGACACTGCTTGCACGAGCTCTGCACATCACTCTGGAGGAAATGCTTCTCCTAACAGAACCACCTGCTCTCGGCTGACGGGCAATAGCTGCCGGGGGCTTTACCTGCATCCACCTGACTCCTGGAGCGGCATGGGCGCAGAGGATACGAAGACGCCGGGTCTTTCCAGGGTCTCAGCAGGCAGCTCCCCTTCCTCCTCCCTGCAGTGGCAGCAACCCCCCGACCGCCCCGCTACTCAGCAGGGCAGCTGCTGTGGACACTTCAGGGCTCTGGGCCACCGGGAAGGATGCTGCATAGGAAATCAGGATGTCAAGGGCCCTTTCTGCCTCTTTCTGGCCTGTCTTCTCATTCCTTTTTCCTTTCCTCCTTTATAAGCTTGGGAGAGTCTGAATGGACTCCAAGTCTGACGAGGACTGAGGGAAACGTGCTGTGCAGAAACTGATCCCGTCCTGTTTCCTGTATCTGTAAGTAGGACGGCAGCCGGGCTTCATTCATCCAATCACTGATTCCACAAATGTTTCTTGACCGCTGGCTTCTAGCCAGACACCCTACAGGTGCTCAGGCACACCAGTGACACAGCAGGCAAGTTCCGTGCCCTGGGGCAGCCCACATCCTGATAGAGTCTGGGTGTCACCCACCTGCTGAGAGAGGCTGATGACCCCAGGGAGATAAAAGGGGCCGCAGACTGTGGTCACCCTGCAGTAGGAATGGCGCTGTGATTTGAAATGACTGGTCCATTTGAGAAGTACACTCTGGCCATTATGGAATTCAGAGATTCTCCCTAAGCTAGTCCCTCTCACTCCTGATGCTTTTCCCAGGCCACACTGTGCATTTTTGCTGTGACTTTCAAGATCAGCTAACATCATTTCAGGTTGGTGATTTCTCTTATTTATGTTTTTGTAGGAACAAGGTCTCACTATATTGCCCAGACTGGCCTTGAACTCCTGGGCTCAAACGATCCTCCCACGTCGGCC